TTTGAGAGCTCTCTACTGGTCTGGAAGGTCCCCAGTAGCATGAAGCTCCAGCTGCTGAAAAGGATAACTTGATACCTATGTGCTAGTGTCTTCTTCCCTACTTTAACCCACTCCCCACCCTCTACCAGTGTTCTCTGCACTTCCAGAACACCAGGGGGCTTCAAAAAATTCACAGAAAAAAATCCATCTGTCCATGAACTTTTTGAAGTCCCCTTGCACAGGTGTTCCCTGGGTTATGAATAAGATTCTTTCCTGAGTGTGTCTTTAAGCAGAATTTGTTTAGTCCAAACTGGCACACATGGTTCTTATTTAGCCTTACTTTAGTGCAAAAAAATGGGGACCTGGTGGTTCAGGGGGTTAAGCATTGGGCTGATATCTGAAAGGTTGGCAATTCAAACCCACCAGCTGCTCTAAGGTAGAAAGATGAAGCAGACTGCTTCTATAATTACCTCCTTGACAACTCTGTGGGGCCATTTTACTATCAAACAGAATCAGCTTGACAACAGTGGGTTTGGGGAGTTAGTGCAAGAAGGCGTCCTGGTGGTGCCATGATTAAAGCACGCAACTGCTAACTGAAAGGTTATAACTGAAAGGTCAGCAGTTTGAACCCACCAGTCACTCCAAGGGAGAAAGACGCAGCCGTTTGCATACGTGAAGATTTCCAGCCTTGGGAACCTTATAGAACAATGTTGCTATATCCCACAGCATCGCTAGGTCTCTGAATTCACTTAACAGCATTGGGTTGGTTTGGGTTGGGTTTTAGTACAAGACAAAGCTTGAAGCCTTTCCAATGATTTCAAAGTTGGGTTACAGCAAGTGTGAAGAATTTGTTGGACTCGGGTTGACTCAGAGTCATGGTGTAGGATAAGCACTGGACTGCTACCTGCAAGGTCGGCAGTTCAAACCCACCAGTCGCTCCTCAGAAACCCTATACAGGATCGCTATGAGTCAGAAGGGACTTGACAACATTTAATAACAATGAACAACAGGGTTGGTTCAATCATTTCCAAGTGAGGGCAAATTTTCATAACATTAAAGGACAAGCAAGGAGCTCTGGTAGCGTAGTGGTTATGAATCGGCCTGCGAACCTCACAGTCAGCAGTTCGAAGCTACCAGCTGTTCCACAGGAGAAAGATGAGGCTTTCTGCTCCTATAAAGATTTATAGCCTCGGAAACCATGTGCAGGGTCGCTATGAGTCGGAACCAACCCCACAGCACACCACCACCATATATATATTTACATATATAAAACCGCCACAAGGTTAGCTGTTCGAGTCCACCAGCTGCTCATTGGGAGAAAGATAAAGGTTTCTGCTCCCGCAAAGATGCACAGCCTAGGAAACCGTATACAAGTGCCATCAAGTCAGTTCAGACTCATAGTGACCCTGTATAGGGTTTCCAAGAAGTAGCAGATGAGTTTGAACTGCTGACCTAGCAGTTCAAACTGACCTGTCAGTCCAGCTCATTATCCTGCAGTGCCACACCAGGACTC